CTCCCGCACTGCCTCCCGCGTATACCTTCTCTTCCCCCACTGCACCCCCCGCTCTCGTTCCCAGCTGCCTTCCTCCCCGCCCTGCATCCACTCGCCTCCCCTTTGTCCCGTCCCTCCTTCTCTCCCTCCTCCCCGTCCGCTCCCTCCCCCCCTCGCACCCCTCCCCGCCTGCATCACCCCTCCCCTCCCCCCCTAATCCTCCCCTCCCCCCCTCGTCCCTAGCCACCGCGCTTCCCTCTCCTCCCCCCCTCCCCGTCCCTCTCCCCGCCCATTCCCCGCCTTGCCCCTCCTTCCCCCCCCTCCCTCCGCGAGAGAGGTGGGCGGAGAGGTGGGCGGCGAAGGGGATCCTGCTCCCCCCGCGCCGCGGCGCCCGACGGGCGCTCCTCCCCCTCCCAGATGGCGGCCGCATGCCATCCCCCTCGACTCGTCCTCGGCTCCGCCAGCTGGCCGGTCCGCGTTCAGCGCGGGTGCGGGCGTTCCGCGTCGATGGCCCATCGGTCGTCGAAGGCGGGTTCTGTTTTGGGCTCCCAGATTCCAGCATCTACTTTAGGCGCCTTCCTGCTTCAGTGATCGCATGGTTTCACCTCTTCCGGGGGCGGGCGGACACCCAATCTGCTGTCAGCGCCTTCCGACTTCGGGTCTCGACCGATGGGTGGGGACAGCGGCTCGAGGGGGGTGGGCTCCAGGGGGCACGCATCGACCCGCGAGCGCCCCTTCATCACCGATGTGGGGCGCCCGGTGGCCCCACCTTGCCCCGGCGCGCGCGGGTTCGCTGCCGGGGCCCGATCGCCGGCCTATCGGCGATATTACCGCTGATTCCAGCTCGATGCTCCCCCCCCCACCCACCCTGAACTGGTCCCCCCCTCTCGTGGCCCCTCCGTCGAAGACCGGGCGACGAGGTGTGTTTTCCCATCGAGCTGGGCCGAGCACCCGTGCAGGCAGTGCTAGCGGAGGCTGGCGCGTTGTACACTTGCCTCCCTGGCCAGGCCAGGGGGTCGTGTGTGCGGGCCCAGGGGGGTCCTGGTGAGCGACGCCGGACCCGAGGAGATCGCTCGAGGGGAGGCGATTCATCGCGGTGGCGGCGGCCCGAGCCCGAGCCAGTCGCGGCAGGGGCCTGCGGAGCGCTCAGAGGGATGGGGGGACAAGATGGGGGGGAGTTCTGCCCCCCTTCTGGGAGGAGGAGGAGGAGGAGGAGGAGGAGGAGGAGGAGGAGGAGGAGGAGGAGGCGTAGGAGGAGGAGGAGGAAGACGAGGAGGAAGGAGGAAGGAGGAGGAGGAGGAGGAGGAGGAGGGAACGGAGGAGCAGGAGGAGCAGGAGGAGGCGGAGGAAGAGGAGGACGATTTGTCGAGGAAGTTGGGGAGGGTCCGCTGGGGAGGAGGGTGAGGAGGGGGAGAGGGGACAGCTTTTCACCGCTCTCGAGGTGGAGGAGGAGGAGGAGGAGGAGGAGGAGGAGGAGGATGATTCCGTCGTGGGAGGGGGGGAGCAGGACGGGGGCGGGGAAGGCGCGGGGGTGGAGCGGTGGGAGGAGGGCAGGCGGAGGAGGAGGAGGAGGAGGAGGAATAGGTCATGGTAATGATGCATCTCAAGATTCCCAGGGGTTCTAGCATCTCCTGATGTTCCACGGGCTGCCGAAACGAAGGCCGCTGGACACTTCTATGGCCAATGGGAGGAAGGTGAGGATGCGTTCGCCATCCCCTTCAGAGGTGGTGGAGGAGGAGGAGGAGGAGGAGGAGGAGGAGGAGCGGTCGTGGGAAGGGGAGCAGGGCGGGAGCGGGGAAGGCGGGGGTGGGGTGACGGGAGGGGGAGCGGACAAGGAGGGGGGGAGGAGGGTGAGGCCGAGTTCGCCACCCCCCGTTTGTCGTTCCCCGGCCATCTCAGTTGCGCCCGGTGAGAGGGTGAGGGCCGCGCTTCGTTCAGCAGCAGCGCCTCTTCTTCGTCGTCCTCCTCCTCCTCACCATCATCGTCATCATTATCATCAGCATGATTATCATCAGCATTATTACCATCATCATCATCATCATCACCACCATCATCATCACTATCATCACACCACCATTATCAGCACAATCATCATCATCATCACCACCTCCATCATCACCACCTCCATCATCGTCATCACCATCATCGCCATCATAATCACCTTCACCATCACAGCAGCCCTGCGTCGATGCTCTTACACGTGCTGGCGACCGACCCTCTCCTCCGATGGCTCCGTCACTCCACCTCTACGCACATCAGGTAAACCTCACCTATGCTGACGATCTTCTCTTTGGATTAGAGAATACTCTTCGTGACCTAGGGCCTGTCTTGGAAGGTTTGCAGTCGTTCACCGAGATTACCGGCCTGAGCCTGAATTTCGGCAAGTGCTGGATCGTATGTTGCGGGGACCTGACCTGAAGATTGTGACATCGGTTCTTGAGGAATTTGGAGACCCAGCTGACAAGCTCCAGGTGGTCTCTTGGGCGATGTACCTTGGATTTCCGATCGGTCCTGACGGCCACATGCATGCTTGGGATCGTGTTCAGAAGCCTTGGGATTGGTTTTGCTATCACCAGTGTCTCGTTTAGAGTTCTACGTGTATGTCTGCTTCAGTTCCGTCTTCAGTTGTACCCTGCCAGTGGTGAGCTGGTCCAGTGTTTCAAGGAGGGCGTGCTGCTGCTGCTCACAGCAGGCCCACAGAATGCGATATCCCACAAGCTTGCGACGCAGCTGCACGAGATAGGACTGGGTGTTGAATTTCCCGATATCTTTGCCACGGCAAACGCTACATGTTCTCGTTTCGCCCTTCTGGCCTCGATGGTTAAAGAATCGCTCGGTAAGCTACAATATGAAAGAGACGACCTCGATGGCATCGCGGTTGGAATTCAAATTCGTTTCTGGCTAGCATTCGACAAACCCTGGATTGGTATTATGCCCTCCTCTCGGAGCCTCGAGATCCGTGGGAACAACTTGCAGACAAAAGTATACAAGTGATCGAGAAAGACGCAACTTCGAGAGTGCTAAATCTATGTTGCTTGGACGTGCCAGGCGCCTCTCCCCAGACATTGTTCATTGGCATTTTCTGCCAGAACTTGAAGGAGATTGCGAAGCACACCCCGATGCACCTGTCAGTTGCCCCCCTCCGTCTCCTCACCAACTCGACTACTACCTCCCCCAGATTCCATTCGACACCGAAAGGCTGTTTGTTTGAGTGCATGTGTGACCAGGGGGAGGACCTGGGTGACATTTATCACTACTGTAAATGCCCACGCTTGGGAAACAAACTCTTGAGATATTGGATTGGCTTCCATATGTCGAGTTCCAGTGAGCCCAGCGGGCGCCCGTAGTGGTTTTGCCTCCTCTTCTTCGCCCTCTTCTCTGCGCCGACTGATGTTTATGTTGTTGCGTGCTGCATGCTGCGATGCATCTTTGTCTGCGTTGAACGCTCGCAGGGAGTCCCAGGGTCCCCGGCCCATCATTTCGAAGGGCGGTTGAGAGTGACCTCTCGCCGCCACCGCGCCCGCTCAGCGGCCTGGTCACACTGCCCGTATGCCCTGGTACGGCGCCTCACGATGCGCGCGCCGCTGCGAGTGGAGTTCGCTGACGAGGACGTGCCTGCGAGAGACCCTCTGACTCCTCGAGGCCGCTAGGCGCCCGTTGAACCACTCAATGAAAACCTGAACCTTTCAACTGGGGAGGGTTAAACAATAGTCACCATCACCATCAGCATCCTCCTCATCCTCCTCCCCATCACCATCACCACCACCATCATCATCAGCATCTTCATCATCATCACCACCATCATCATCATCACCAACATCATCATCATCATCATCATCATCATCATCATCATCATCATCATCATCATCATCATCATCATCATCATCATCATCATTATCAAAATCATCAAAATCATCAGCATCCGCGTGTTATTCTTCTCCTCCTGCCGTCTCTGAACCTGCTCCCCGTCCTCCTGTTCCTGATTACTGCGGGTCCTTTTTCCGTTCCTCCAGGTCGCCTTTCTGGTCTGCTCGTCTCCCAGGACCCAGGGCCTGAGTTCTTGCCACGAAGCCTGGCACACATGAGTTGAAATTAACCTGTCTCGTCTCGGGATTCCCCCGGAGGGGGACCCGCGTGGAGGAGGGAGGAGGGTGGGATGGGGGGCGGGGAACGTGGTTTAGGGAGCAGGAGAGGAAAGGGAGCAGGGAGGGAGGCAGGAGGGGGACGGAGGGGGAGGCGAGGCAGGACAAGAGGTTGGCACCCCCTCCAGCTGGCTGGCGGGGTCGGGCCGACTCGGGGATTGCTGGGCAGGGGGCTGGCACACGGCGCTGCTGCGGGGCGACGGCACCGCCGTGGCGTGTGGCGCCCGTGACTTTGGACAGCTCGACCTTCCCGTGGGGGCAAACAGGGTGCATATGCCCGGACCGCAGTCCCCCTTCTCCCCCTCCTCCCCCTTCTCCCCTTCCTTCCCCTTCTCTTCCTCCCCTTCCTCCCCCTTCTCTTACCCTTCTTCCCCCCTCTCTTCCCCTCCCCTTCCTTCCTCCCCCTTCACTTCCTTCCTTCCCCTCCTCCCCTTCCTCCCCCTTCTCTTCCCCTTCCTCCCCATTCTCTTCTCCTCCCCCATTCCCCGTGCTGGGAGGGCGGGTCGGGTAGACCTGTTTTGCCCCACCTGCTTCCGGCCCTGGACCAGGGCGTGACTTACACGCAGGTTGCTGCAGGAGGTTGCCACACGGTCCTGCTCAGGAGTGACGGTTCGTCCGTGGCTTGCGGCGGCAATTGTTGGGGGCAGTGTGACCTTCCGACGTTGGACGCGGGCCAGGCGTACACGCAAGTCTCTGCTGGAGGTGGCCAAACAATTCTGTTGCGGAGCGACGGTACGGCTGTGGCCTGTGGCCAAAACGAGTTCGGGCAATGTGATCTTCCTGCTTTGGGGGAAGGCGCAAGCGGTAGGAACCCGCATCATGTGGGCTTGGCGTACGTCCAAGTTGCCGCGGGAGTTTTGCATGCTGTTCTGCTGAGGAATGACGGCTTGGCCTTTGCTTGTGGCTTCAATGGAAGTGGCCAGTGTGACCTTCCAGATTTGGATGAAGGTGAGCGGTATCCGACTGCCTGCGGCAAACCGCGCCAACGCAGCATCGCAGCGTCAAGGAGCTTCTCTGGGACTTCTTGAGGGCCTCTCGGGACCATTTTGGGTCCGTTTGTGGGGCATTTGGTGGTCTGTAGGGGGGCCTCTGGGAGGCCTCTTGGGGGTCACTTAGGCCCTAGGAACCTCTTCGGGGCATCTTGGTTGCTTTGGAGGCACTCATGTACGAGCAGACTGTTAAGGCCAGCTTGATTTTCCCATGTTGGGCTCCTCTTGGGACTGTCGTGGAGGCCTCTTGGCGATCGTTGGGGCATCTTCGGCCGTCTTGGGTCCCCCTCGGGCCGTCTTCAGGGCACTTTGGGCTGTATTGGAGCCCCCCTGGGCCGTGTTAGAGCCTCTTTGGACCCTGTTTGGCTGTCTTGGAGCCTCTTTCGGACAATGTGGGCTAGCTTGGGTTTGCGGAAGCCAGAAATTGCCAGCATCTTAAAGTCTGTTTAGGCCCAAAGGGAAACCATTGGTTGTTGCCATCGAGGGCCTCTTGTGGCATCCTCTTGGAGCCCTCTTGGGACGTATTGGGACCCTCTCGGGCCGTCTTGAGACCATATCGGAATCCTCTTGGAGCGCATGGAGGCACGACGTAGTGGTTGATTGCTGTTCTGGCTGTTTGTTGCGTTTGTTTGCGGTGTTGGTTGCTTCTGCTGCTGCTTTAGCAGGTTGGGCTGTTTTGGGCCGTGATTGCTCTTTCTGCTTGTTCTGACCCCCCTCTGGTGCGGGCCTCTCCGGGGAGCAATTCAATCCAAGCAGCAATGTGTTATTGGGAACGGCCCAGAATCGGCCGCAGAAAAGGGAGGATCTGTTTTTCTAGGGACGCGCGCGGGAAGGGGAGGGGAGTCGGCCCCAGAGAAAGCTAACGAAGCCCTACTGGACAGCATGGAAGCACTCGAGCACGCCCCAACGTGCACAAGGCACGGCAGGGCTGGACCTAAACGGTGTTCTGGCCATCTCGTGGCCCGTTTTGTTGTTCGCTTCGTTTTGCATTCAAGGTGAAGCGAAGGCAACACGAGGAGAACGAACAACACAACGAACACGAACAACACCGTTTAGGTTCAGCCTTGAGGCACGGTGGCGGATGTGCAGGTTGCCGCGGGAGATTCGCACACTATTCTGCTCCGAAGCGATGGCACGGCTGTGTCCTGTGGACGGAACCAGGCTGGACAACGGGACATTCCAGTTTTGGGAGATGGCATGCGTTACACCCAAGTCTCCGCAGGACTCCTCCACACGGTGCTTCTCCGTAGCGATGGTACCGCCGTGGCCTGTGGTGACAATGGTTGGGGGCAGTGCGACATTCCTTCTTTGAGTGCAGGTGTCACTTACACAGAGATCAGTGCAGGACATCGACATACTGTTCTGGTCTGCAGCGATGGCACAGCAGTGGCATGCGGCAGCAATACTCACAAGCAGTGCACACTTCCGACTCTGGCAGCAGGACTGACCTATGGGGTGCCAACGCTGGTACTCCAGGCGTCATGCGACGGTGATTCGATAGATGTCAAGACGTTTGGCGGAGAGACACTTTGCCACATCCGGGCAGCACCCACGGACCGTCTCATCAACATCTACGCCGATTTGATGATTGAGCCCTTGCGCAGGTTCGGGAACGTCCACATCATCTTGCCAGGAGGCGAACTTCTCCGCAATCTGCCAGCTGAGGAGACCGTGGGACGCTTCTTTGGGCTGTGCGAACGTTAAGCCCACCAATTGTGTTGCCTGCCCGTGTCATCTGTGGACGGGCATTGCCGTGGGGCCCTCGCGGCCCGCCACTGCGAGCACGACGTCGCCCACGTCCTTCCCCTGGCTGTGGACCGGGTCTCTTCTTGAGGGCTCCAGGTTCGGCCCAGCGCACGCCGGGCGGGAGCCACTCTCGGCCTTCCCAGCGGTAGGCAGGGGGCTCGTTTCACAAACCGTGCGCACAGCCAGCGCAGCAAGTTTTTTGTGTCTGGTCGGCGTGGCACTGGTCACGTATGCTGACGTGTACGCCATCCTGTCGCGGCGGATTTGGTACAGCACCACCATCCTGGACGAGTGCCTCTCTCGCAGCGATGTCTGTCGACGGCAGGCAGAACACACATTGCATGCAGCTTAGAGGTCAAACAAATGTGCCAGCCCAGAAGCACGCGCGCTGTAACCACTTTGCATAGCCCGCATAGCAAATATCCAGCTCGCACCATATAGCATGCAAGCATTCTGGCATGCGGGCACACAGTCATGCAACCCACTGACCAGTCAAGAACAGGCAAGCAACTTCACCTGAAACAGTTTGGAGATGGAATCTGTCATTTGGATGGCCAAGCATGTATTCAAAGAAGTGTCTAAATGTACATTCGACCAGCCGCGCAATGGAGAGCATATGCGTTTCATACGCGGTCAAACGCGCGAAAGTGTGCATATCAATCAGGGGTGGGGTGTAGGCGAGCATGCGAGACATCAGTTTCGGACGCGTACGTTCAGGCATACCCGCTTATACGCACACAGGTCATCTTATACGCGCGCGGGTCATCATCCACGGACGGTTTCGAGTATACAGTGTTGTTTGATGGAATCGCGCTTGATGGTTTTCTGATCGTAAGTGTTGCCAACTATGCGTGCCTGCATTACTTCCCAGTGGCTCCAGGATTAGATGCTCTGCGCCGTTTATATTCACATCAGTGTTGTGATGTTCGGCGCATCCCAGCGCTGATGTTAAAACTCCAGTAGCCGAGAGATCCCCGGCGCTGGCGTGTTCCGAATTGAGGTCAAAAGGAGCCCGAGTTCGCCGCGTTGTTCTGGTTGTCGGGAGCACCCTCACAGTTTGACGTCTGAACCAGGGAATTGCGCGCCGCCTTCCGTGCTCCCATGCAGTTATATTTGCACAAGAGGAGCGACGAACTGGGGGAGGCATTCATGAGTGGATGCGGGGTGACGGATCGCGGATCGCAGAGGAAGGAGAGGAGGAGGAGGAGGAGGAGGAGGAGGAGGAGGACGAGGAGGACGAGGAGGACGAGGAGGAGGAGGAGGAGGAGGAGGAAAGGAGGAGGAGAGGAGGAGGAGGAGGAGGAGGAGGAGGAGGAGGAGGAGGAGGAGGAGGAGGAGGAGAGGAGGAGGACGAGGACGAGGAGGAGGAGGACGAGGAGGAGGATGGAGGAGGAGGAAGTTTAGGAGGGAGGAGGAGGAGGAGGAGAGGGAGGAGGAGAGGGAGGAAGAGGAGTTGGACGAGGGTAAGACCTGGAGTGCGTGCGGCGGAGAAGCGTCCAAGGGTGGAGGACCGAAGAAGCCGGGAGCAAGGGAGAATAATAAGTCTTGCGGGCGCAGGCCGAGCGCTGCCAGCGGCTGGGCGGGGGGGCGGATCGGGGGTCCAAGGGTGGCAGCGGTGCGTGAGGTCTGGGGCCTCCTCTTCCTCCCCCTCCTCCTCCGCCTCCTCCTCCTCCTCCTCCTCCTCCTCCTCCTCCTCCTCCCCCTCCCCTCCTCCCTCCTCCTCCTCCTCCTCCTCCCTCCTCCTCCTCCTCCTCCTCCTCCTCCTCCTTTTCCTCCTCCTCCTCCTCCTCCTCGTCCTCCTCCTCCTCCTCCTCCTCCTCCTCCTCCTCCTTCTCCTCCTCCCCCCCCTCCCTCTCCTCCTCCTCCTCCTCCTCGTCCTCCTCCTCCTCCTCGTCCTCGTCCTCCTCCTCCTCCTCCTGCTCCTGCTCCTGCTCCTCCTCCTGGTCCTCCTCCTCCTCCTCCTCCTCCTCTTCCTCCTCCTCCCCTCCTCCTCCTCTTCCTCCTCCTCCCTTCCTCCTCCTCCTCCTCCTCCTCCTCCTCCTCCTCCTCCTCCTCCTCCTGCGCAGCGGCACGCCAGAGCCAGCACACAGCCTGCGCTGCCCCGAGCTGGCTGTGCTGCGGCGTCCCGCGCGGATTTGTCGCATCGGCGTGGAGGCCCCACTGGCGGCGCGCTCCGTGCGCCAGGGAGGGGGGTCTGGCGCGGGTCCGCGAGACAAATCCGCGCGGGCCGTCGAAAGTCCAGGAGGGGAAAAGCACAGACACAAGTACTCGTCGATTCCCCAGAAAATATGACAATATACGCGACGTGGGGGGGAAGGCGAAAATCAAAGAAATATGACACATGTGGGGAATCTTGGGATTTGTGTGTAAGTATGTGTGTGTGTGTGTGTCCCTGGGCCCCTTCAGTCTGTGGTCGTGTCGTTTGTGGTTGCGCGTGCGCCACGCCGCTCCAGGCTTCTACAATTTCCTCTACGGCTACATGCGCGACGCGCTCGTGGGTCCTTTGTTTGTTTGTTTGTTTGTGTCTTCTGCTCCTGTGGGCGTTTAGCCGGGAGAGCAAGAGAGAGAGAGAGAGAGAGAGAGAGCCGAGCAGGCCAGCGCGAGGGCCGAGCAGGCCAGCGCTCGCTACTCGCTCGGCTCGGGCTTGATCCTGGCTTGGTGGACCAGTGGACGTCCAGGCCGCTGGGAGACAGACGATTTGGTCGGAGGTTGTGGTCGGCGGCGAGCGAGGGGGGGAGACGAGAAGCAGGAGGCCTGCTCAGAAGGCGGCGGGACTTCTCAGAAGCCCTCGCGCCTTCTGATAAGTTTTTTGTGTCTTCGGGGAAGGCTTGGAACACTTCTCAGAAGGCCCGGGGACTTCCGAGACTTCTGAGAAGGCCCGCCCCTTCTCACTTCCCCCCTCGCTCACCGCCTATGTGGGAGAAGCGCCAAACTGGCCTGAGGCCGAGGAAGATATCAGCAGGGCCTCGTGCATCATCCTGCGAGGGGCCATAGAATCACATTCGCATGCTCGTGTGTCAGGTCATTGTTCCATGTGCGAGGTTATCCCTTCATCAGAGCAGTCGATGCGAGGGGGAGAGAGAGAGAGAGACATGGGGAAAGAGAGAGAGAGAGAGAAGGAGGCAGCAGGAACGAAGGAGCGGCTCTTGATACGTATATCGAGCCGTGTGCTCTGCGCCAGAGTAGTGCCGGAGCTGGAGGCACTGCTCCCCGAAGGAGGGCCGTCTGGCAGGGGCCTGCTCGCAGGGCCCAGCCGGCAGGGGAAGGCTGGCAGGGGCCTCGGGAGCTGTGAAATGGGGGGGGGCGATACCCATCGGTCGGGAGAAGTAGGAAAAACCATGAAGCCAGAAGGCGTTGAAAGTAGATTGGGTCTCCGCCCGCCCCCCAAAGAGGACGGAAATGGTGAAGCCACTCGATCGTCAAAGTAGGACGGCGTTGAGAGTTGACTGGCATCTGGGAATCCAAAAATACCTGCTTTCAAGGACCTTTGGGTAATTGGGGGTTGAAGGAGAGTGCACCGCTTGTGCCCCGAGGGAGCCCCCGGGGCCCCCCCAAGAGGTGCACGCTTCTGCCCCCCCGCCATGTATCGCCCCCCCCCCGTCCGCGCTCGGGGGCCAGGCAGGCGCTGGGGAACAAAACCGTACCGATGCAGGTGCTGCACTCTCCTTCAACCCCACGTTACCCATCGGTCGTTGGCAGTAGGTATCTCTGGCACAGATGCCAATCTACCTTGAGCGCCCTCCTACTTCAATGATCGAGCGGCTTCGCCTTTTCCGTCCTCTTTGTGGGGCGGGCGGAGACCCAATTTGCTTTCAACGCCGTCCGATGTCATGCTTCTACCTACTTCTCCCGACCGATGGGTAGTTACCCGCGGTCAGCGCCTGGGGTGCGCTCTACCCGGAACTTCGAGGCGAACCTAGCCGTGGCGGCGAGAGAAGGGCAGCGATATCTGTAGATGTTCCTCTTCCAGCTCGCCTCCCATCGGGCGACGAGGGCGCTTGGCAGGCGGCTTTGCGGGCCCGCCTGGCCTCGCGCGCGGGCGCGCCTGAGGCGCCGAGCTGATTAGGCGCTGCGACTGGCCTCCTCTCCTCCCTCCCTCTTCCCCCCCTGCCTGCTTTCCTCGCCACAGGGCCCTCTTTGCGCTTGTAAAATTGTTTCTTTGTTCGTTGAACTCGTAACGTCCAGTACGGCGGGGTCGACCCCCCCCATAAGGTCGCGAGCGTCCAGGGAGGGGGTCCCGGCCCCCCCACAGTTCTGGCGCCGTGCTCACGGGCATGGTGTGGCGCTGACAGGCACAGGAGAGACTCCAGACGCCTCCAGAGGCGGCCGTCGTCGTCGTCGTCGTCGTCGTCGTCGTCGTCGTCGTCGTCGTCGTCGTCGTCGTCTTCGTTGTCGCCGTCGTTGTCGTCGTCGTCGTCGTCCTCGTCGACGTTTTTACCGTCGTCGTCGTCGTCCTTGTCCTCGTCCCCGTCCTCGTCCTCGTCGTCGTCGTCTTCGTTATCGCCGTTGTCGTCGTCGTCGTGTCCAAGGGCCTGGCAGGGCTTGCAGACATATGCAGAAGCCTCCAGAGGCCTCCTGAGGCCTCCAGGGACCTTTATAGACCTGCAGAGGCGGCCGTCGTCGCGGTCGTCGTCGTCGTCGTCGTCGTCGCCGCCACCGCCGCCGCCGCCGCCGGCGCCGTCGTCGTCGTCTTCGTCACCGCCGTCGTCGTCGTCGTCGTCGTCGTCGTCGTTGTCGTCGTCCCTGTCCGCGTCCCCGTCCTCGTTCTCGTCCTCGTCCTCGTCCGCATAATCGTCGTCGACATCGTCGTCGTCGTCGTCGTCGTCGTTGTCGTAGTCCTCGTCGCCCTCGCCCTCGTCCTCGTCCTCGTCGTCGTCGCTCCCGAGGGCCTCGAAGGGCCTCCAGACGCCCCCAGATGCCTCTCGGAGCCTTCTGTGTCCTCTAGAGACCTCGAGAGACCTTCAGAGGCGGCCGACGGTGTTGTCATCCTCGGCGTCGTCGTTGTCGTCGTCGTCGTCGCTGTCGTCGTCTTCTCGTCGTCGTGCTCGTTTGTCGTCCTCGTCCTCTTTCTCGTCCTCGTCGTCTTCGTCTTTGTCGTTGTCGTCGTCCTCGTCGTCGTCGTCGTCATTGTCGTTGTCGTCGTCGTCAGCCTCGTCCTCGTCTTCGTCCTCGTCTTCGTCGTCGTCGTCGCCGTCGTGGTCGTCGTGGTCGTCGTTTTGTCGTTGTCGTCGTCATCGTCGTCCTCGTCCTCGTCCCCGTCCTCGTCCTCGTCCCTGTCGTCGTCCTCGTCGTTCTCGTCGTCCTCGTTGTCGTCGTCGTCGTCCTTGTCGTCGTCGTCGTCGTCGTCGTCGTCGCCGTCGTCGTCGCCGAGAGCCTCGAAGAGAATCCATACGCCTCCAGAGCTTTCCGGAGACTCCCTTAGGCCTCCAGAGATCTCCAGAGAATTTCAGAGGCAGCCGTCTTCCTCGTCATCGTCGTCGTCCTCGTCCTCGTCCTCGTCGTCGTCCTCGTCGTCGTCCCCGTCCTCTTCCTCGTCCTCGTCGTCATCGTTATCGCTTTCGTCGTCCTCGTCCTCGTCTCCGTCCTCGTCGTCCTCGCCCTCGTCTTCGTCCCCGTCCTCGTCTCGTCCCTGTCGTCGTCCTCGTCCTCGTCCTTCTCGTCCATGTCGTCCTCGTCACCGCCGTTGTCGTCGTTCTCGTCGTCATCGTCGTCGTCGTCGCCGAGGGCCTCGAAGGGCCTTCAGACGCTTCCAGAGGTCTCCGGAAACCTCCTTGGGCCTCCGGAGGCTTTCATGGGCGGCCGTTGTCGTCGTCGTCGTCTTCCTCGTCTTCCTCGTCGTGGTCCCAGTCCCCCTCGTCGTCGTCGTCGTCCCCGTCCCCGTTCCCGTTCCCGTTCCCGTTCCCGTCCCCGTCCCCGTCCCCGTCCCCGTCCCCGTCCCAGTCCTCGTCTCTCCGTCCTCATCCGCTTCGGCGAGGAGCACGCTGTGCACGGCAATGCCGGCAAATGCTGTGTGCAGGAGGGATTCGCTTGGGGCGCAGGAGTTGGAGGTGGCCTTAATCGCCCGCCTGCCGTCGCTTCCTCCCCCTCGCCCCCGGGCAGATGGGGACGGTCACGGCGGGTGGCCGCGCTGCAAGCACAGGGGCAGCACCCTGCGAGAGGACGTAGGGCTGCGGCACTGCACGTTCTCTGCCTGCGCCTCGAGAAAGAAAGAGCCAGGTCCGAGCATGTGATCGAGGAGTAGTCTTTCCCGCGGTAGTGATGTGCACCAGGCGGTCACGCATGCGATTGCAGGTTGACGACGCCTTTCTATCTGCAGAGTCGTGCGCGGCCGCGGGCAAAATGTCTCTGCCGCTGCCTTACTGTCGAGAGTCGGCACACGCGCGCCTAAGCTCGGGGCGCCATCATCGCTGCTATCTCGCCAGCTCTCTGTCCCGTACGTGGCTATCAGAAGTCAATGCGAAACTGCCTTTATCGGCGGCGCGCCCGGGGGGGAAGGCAGAGGGGGTCGGCCTTCTTAGAAGGTGGGGAAGGCCTCCGGCCTTCCGATAAACTTCCCAAGCCTTCTCCGAAGCCGCAGAGGGTTTCTCAGAAAGTTGGAGGGGTTCTGGGAATCTTAGCCGCCTCCTGAGAAGGTTTATTTGCTCTCATTTCCCCCTCGGCGCGCCGCCGAGTGTAGGCTGGATGATCTCTCTCTATCGCTCTCTCTCTTTCTCTCTCTCTCTCTCTTCCTCTCGGGGCTCTTCGCGTTCTGGTCGTGCTCGTCGAACTCGCAGCAGGTCCACCGTGCTAATTGTGACCCCCTGCCGCACCCGACCATGTGCATCTGCCGTCGGCCACCTCTCGCACGCATCCAGTGAGGAGGAGGACATGGCAAGTTGTGAATGCTGATATGCTTCGTGGCATCGCTTTCCATTTCGCGCAGTTCCTTCCATCCTTTCGAATGGCGCCCTGCGTCGGCATCCGCGGCACCAGCGAGGCAAGCTTTGGCATGTAGGGGAGGCAGTCCGCAGCCTGAAGTAACGACGACACGGATTCTACTTCTGAGGCTTCCCTCTGACATTGCCTCCGAAGTTTCATGCGACGTGTGATCTGGTGTTTCGTGAGTCGGATTTGACTCGCCGATGAAAGGGGGACATTGGGGAGAGTGGACAGGCGGGTCGCGCACATGGGGTCGGTCGTTGATGTTAGACAGGCTCTTCCGCTCCGCTCATCGGTGTGTCGGCGTGTCCGAGCGAGACACGCCCGAGACAGCCATGCAACCATCATTGCTCGGAATACCGTTGTTTTTTTAGGGCGCGGGTCTGAACCGCCGACGTTTCGATGAGGAGGAGGAGGCGGGACGTCGACGTGCAGTTGATGGTACCCTCGTCAGGGGAGACAGTGTCCAGCGTGGCGTGGCCCGACAGGGCTTGCTCAGCTGGTACGGTGGAGGCGCTCGTTGAGGAGTGTGCCCAGGAGGCTGCAGCACCTGGAGGATTCACCTTGCCTCATGTGGGCGGCGGTCGTAGCCTTGGCCGATCCACGATTGGAGTCCCGCCGGCTTCCAGGCCCTGGATGCCTTATCCAAGGGTTCCCTGTCCATTGCCCCCACCGTAGTGGATGATGTATCCAGCCGGGTCTCCGCAAGTGCATGCTTGCGGCAGCGACCCCGCCGCGTCATTCCAGGTGGAAGGCCACGAGCGGCCCAGAATCGGCCAGCATGCCAAACGACCGGGCGATCGAGCAGTCGCCCAGTCGCCGACCATTCAAGGTGGAGAACGATCCACGCGGCGTCAGGATGCCATCGATGGGGTCGTCACGACTCGAGCCTGCCGCACGCCGTTGCGTCTGGGGGCGGGGGAGCGCAGCGGTGCTGCAGCGTTTCGCGGCGGTGCCGTTGCACCGTCCTGCTCGTGTGCGGGCGGCGAGGTCTATGCTGCACAGCCACCGCCGCTTGCCAGGCCCTCCCAGCGCCCAGGAGCGGTGTACACACTGTTGAGGCGTTGCAGGAAGGGCCTCGCCTTCGAAGATATAATCAGGCGATCGCAAACATGGATCAGGGGGGCGTGGATTAACGACGGGTTCCGTTTCCATGGGGAATCACGGATTTCCGCCGCCGAGCGAGGCGGCGCTGGCCGCATTTTGGGGAGAGCACCTCTTCCGATCCATGGATTTGGCGACCGCGCGCCAAATCCATGGATCGCTAATCCATGCTTGCTTCCCCCGGTAGAAGTAGCTGTCATCGGGTCCTCGGCGGAAGGCGGCGGAAGGGCGGCGGAAGCCCGCGGAAGTACAGCGACTCCGCCTCCGCCAGCGGAAGCCAGCGGAAAGTTGGCGGGAGTGAAAAGAGTCGCCCCTGAGAGATGGCAGCATTTTGGGGTTTTGTGTGTTCAGACTGGGCCACGTGCGTCCTTGGCCAAGGCGAGGTGGCGCGTGCACCTCCCCTGCGCCCAGGGTTGCCTGGGCAGCGGCGGTCTGCATGTACAGATTCAGAAGGCCAGCAACATGTATGCACGTATGCGGCCAGCTTCTGCTGGTCTGCTTTGGAACGCGGGCACTCGTGCACGCGGGACTGCAGGAGGGCGCGCAGATGAGCGACGGAAGAAAACAGGGTCGACTGCGCCGACGGTCGCGCGTAAGTTGTGCGCGCGGAAGGTCTCGCGCGTGCGCCCTTGTCGTCAATGTGGCGTGCCGCCGCTGGCGGCCCGCGCAGGCCCCCGCGCAAGGCCTCTGTGCCATCTTGGCTAAGACCCGCTTCGACTCTTCCTTCCCGTGCTCTTGCCCGCCGTCCGAACCCTTTGCGCAGTGACCCCTGCGCACCCCCGAGGACCGCGGCGTGCCGCCGCGCCGCCGCCGCCCTGGCGCTCGGCGCCCTGCCGGCGCTCGCGCGGCGGGCGCGCGCGCGGGCGCCCGCGGCGGCCCTGGAGGCGCGCGGGGGCGAGGCCCCGACCCTCGCCGCTCGCTCTCCTCGGGTCTGCATCGTGTCAGCCATCCCCACGCCCAACGTGCCGTGGCATCTCAGCCCCACCACTTCACCACCCCCTCCGCTGGGGAGAGGCCCCCTGGAGGCCGGGAGAGAGCAG